GGTTAGCAGATCAATGAATGAGAGGGCAGTGTTACCAGAGTTGCCCATTTACCACACCATGTTACAACACAGTAGGGCTATTACAGACAGAAACAATACTGTACTACATCGATGTTTCCTGTCGGCTCAATTTTTGAGCATGAGCGATGAGCATGAACGGTATATGAGTGGACTGAGCGGACACACACGCATAGAGCGGGATAATACGCAGAGCTTCACACCACGTGAAAGTGAATCCTGAGCGGTGAACTCATTTTCGGCAGCCGAAATTTCAGTGCATCTCTAATTATTGGCGACATCAGAAATGGATATTATATAATAGATGCTTTTTTGAACATTTTAGCAATTTAAAAATATTAAAAAAGGATTTTTTACACGGCACCCCTGCTCTCGACAGACGGCACCCCAGGGTACCGCGGCACCCCGGTTGGGAAACACTGGTCTAGTGGATAAAGGAATACTTGACCTAAAGATGAAAAGTGTGTCATCAATTTCTGATCCCCACCACTGTACAGTAGCTTTCAAAATGTATGTGCACCCTGTGGAGTTTAAATGTACCTTTAGAAATCTGTCAAATTTTATTCAGACTTGGTAGATCCTGCCAAGTCTTACTGAGTCTTCAGAGTAATGGTGGAAGACAAGGTACGTTCAAACTCCACAAAGGGCCATAATACGCTTGAACACAGATTTTATTGGTCAGGTTTATCAGGAAGGTGGGGGCTGTTCCTGTAAAAAGTGTATTGCAATTAATGTCAAGTATGTGCTTAATTGCACCTTTGAACTTAATTGACCATGACTGAGCTAATCGTTCTTATGTCCACCCTTCCAGCAACCCTTCCTGGAGGTGAAAATATCGGACACTGGTAAACGGTCCAGACGGGACACCGGCCTCGATTGCGATGAGCATTCCACTGAGTCACGTTGCTGCCGGTATCCACTCACCGTTGACTTTGAGGAATTTGGTTGGGACTGGATAATTGCCCCCAAGCGCTACAAGGCCAATTATTGCTCCGGTGAATGTGTGCAGAAGTACCCCCACAGTCACATCGTCAACAAGGCCAACCCTCGGGGCAGCGCAGGCCCCTGCTGCACACCCACCAAGATGTCGCCAATAAATATGCTGTACTTCAATGACCGTGAGCAGATAATCTATGGAAAAATCCCTTCAATGGTCGTAGACCTTTGTGGCTGCTCTTGAGCCTGAGAGCTTCTCGAGTCGCTACGACAGCAAGCCCTAACTGCTCTGGACCAGAGGGAAGTGAAAACAACCTTTACCTTGTCCCTGACAAAATAGTTCCTGCTAAAACAATTGACCACACCAGGATCCTAACAAACCAACTTATCCGATTCTTTTAGTTCGTTCTCATCGACTGTTTAACACAAGGACAATAGTACCAAGGTGACAAGTGTTTCTTTGTTTATGAAGGTATAAGTCTTCCGCTGTGAATGCATTTGAGCATAGAGATGACCTGATGGGTTTTACCAGCTTGATATCAGAATGTAAAAATTGCAAAAAGTACTTTTAAGTTTCAAATTAATGTCAAAGGGGGTTGTATAGTTGATTATTTATATAAAGTCACTTATCCCCCAGTGACCCCAAAAACAGGAACACTGACCCAGAAACTCACTCAACATGACGTCTAAACAATAGACTTTAGGAATTCTGCAGTTGTTTCATAGCATATGGGCAGTTGACAGATGGTAGGGATAGGAAAACGTTTTTCATTGCTGTAACTGGTCACAAATGTTAAATGTATAAATAATCTTTAAATGCTTTTTAGACATTGCTGGAACATGTCAACTACCCAAAAGCATGCAGCTTATGTTCTTGTCAAAAACATCAATTAAATTGCCAATTCACTAGGTAGCCTACATAATGTCATAGGATAGAGATGGACATGGAGATTTTTTTTTTAATTGTATAGATTCTATGGTTCCAAATCATGTTATAGTTTTGATCTGTTGTACCAAGTAAAATGCCTGTTACTGACGTCTCTGAGGAGTTGTTTTCGCGTGTCCTTAAGGGACCTCTTCAGTGTTTTCCCTTTGTAACCCTAACAGTGACACCATTGACACCATTCCAAGCATGTGGAGCACATTATGGCGCTCAAAAGCAACAAACTCATTTCCATGGAAGCTAAAGCCTATCCTGTTTTATTTTGTTCTCCGGAGGGTTCCCCAGTGTGATTGAGGCCCCGTGAGGCAACGACACTAGGAGTCTGTCCCCAGGGCAATGAGTGCACTTAGAAATGTCTTAATTTGCTTTTTTGAAAAGGATTTTGCACACTTTGCTGCATGATTCAATAATAATACTTACCGTGAAACTATAGGTTTAGGACATGGAAGACAAATAAACAACCTTGCCTCTAATACCGACAGGCTGAAAAGAGGGGGAAAAACAAGACTACATAAAAATGCAGTGCAACTAACCATATCATCATGCACAGTTTGGACAACTAAATACATTAAAAAAATTAAATATACACTACCGCTCAAAAGTTTGGGATCAGTAAGACTTGTAATGTTTTTTAAAGAAGTTTCTTATGCTCATCAAGGCTGCATTTATTTGATAAAAAATACAGAAAAAAACTGTAATCTTGCAAAATGTTATTACAATATAAAATAATGGTTTCTATTTGAATATAGTTTAAAATATAATTTATTTCTGTGATGCAAAGCTGAATTTCCATCAGCCATTACTCCAGTCTAAAGTGTCACATGATCCTTCAGAAATCATTCTAATATGCTGATTTATTATCAGTGCTGGAAACTGTTGTGCTGCTTAATATTTTTTTGGAACCTGTGATACTTTTTGATGATTCTTTGATGAATAAAAAGTTAAAAATAAGAGCATTTATTTAAAATGGAAATCTTTTCTAACAATATACACTACCGTTCAAAAGTTTGGGGTCAGTACATTTTTATTCTTTCTTTTTTTTAAAGAAATTAAACATTTATTCAGCAAGGATGTGTTAAATTGTTAATAAGTGATAGCAAACATTTATATTGCTAGAAAAGATTTTTATTTTGAATAAATGCTGTTCTTTTTAACTTTTTATTCATCAAAGAATCCTGAAAAAAGTATCGCAGTTTCCCAAAAAAATATTTGGCAGCACAACTGTTTGTGCATTGACAATTCTAATAATAAATCAGCATATTAGAATGATTTCTGAAGGATCATGTGACACTTTAGACTGGAGTAATGGCTGATGGAAAATGGCTGCAATATAACAAAGAGTGAAAAATTTAAGGGGGTCTGAATACTTTCCGTACCCACTGTATATATGTATGTGTGTGTGTGTGTGTGTCAAGAAAATAATAAACAAACAAAAAGGCTTGTCAACATTTAAAAGGGAGTCCCCAGCGTCCCCTACATTATTAGATGCAAATTGTAGTGCAATCAGTATGTCAGATTTTATGTGTAAATAAATGCAACTTCACCTTGATTGACCCCACATCCACATGTATTCCTTTAGTCCTGTCACTTATGAAATTATTTTCCTCTTAAAACAAATTATTGTCTTATAACATATTATAAAAGAAATCATATAACGTGCATTTCTCCCACAGCTTTTACGCGGTGATTAAATAAGCACCTTTCTCTAACCTACTACACAGTTTCAGTTTCTTATAAATCACGTGGGCTGCGTTACAACGTCTGGTCCAAAATTCCACCTTGCGTTATAAACGACGCCCGAGTGCGCTGATTGGCTAGTGCATACGTAAAAACCACAATTTCGCTCGCTGATTGGTTCACCCAGCTGTCACACAAACACGCGCTCCTCATGCAGACGGAGTCGGACATCTACTGGAAAGAGTACTGCGACTTCAATAACAAATCGACATTAACAGGGAACTGACCTGTTCTTCCGTTGCTGTAGAAGACAAATCAAACAAGTCAGCGGATTCTTGCTTTAACCTTGTTTGGATAACGTTTGGGGGTGAGTAACAAAATAATAACTTTAATTTCCGCATTCATCTTTTTTTTTTTTTTTTTTTTTTTTTTCTGAAATTTTTTTTG